ATATTATTTTTTATAATTCAAAAAAAAATTTCTGAATTTTTTGATAACACTGTTTTTACATTTTTAAACAAAATATCTAAAATTTTGTTAAGTACAATGAAAACGGATTTGGTAACAGTATTTAAAGAATTGGTAATAAATCTAAATTTTACAGGATTTTTATGCAGATTAGGGATAGCATATAAAAATGGTAAATTATAGCAGTCTGTGTATATATTCCATTTTTTAATGGCTTTCTTTATATTAATAATAATAGTATGTTTCTTTAAAGCAGTTTCTGTAAAAGTATTTGAGGTATTGATTTCATTAATTAAAATTTTGGCATATAATTTTTTACATATAAAGTTATAGTAGATAAGTTTAGATATCAAGTATATCCATATACAATGATAATAAAGTAGTTTAAGTTTTGAATGTAACTCTAAAAGGTTACAAGATGTGCACTTTGACCTACATGTAGCAAGAACTTTAAGACAGCAACAAATTTCTGAAATTTAGAATTCATGAAAAATCTACAAAACATGTTGAAGTCACTATAATTGATTTTCTTAAATAGAATCAATCTCAACTTTACCTTGCATTATCTTACAATTAACCATTTCACTTTGACCTATCTCTTTAAACTCCTTTCTGCACAGGTTATTAGGTTTTACTGTGTTACATTTAAAATTTAATTAAACAACTTTACTATCAATGTATTCTCATTAAACTGACATTACCATCTATGTTATAATTCAGAGTTCTATATCATATGCTTAATTTCTTTTATTTCAAAAGAAATCTTCAAATAAAAGTACTTAAACTTCAGTTTTGTTGTGACATGATACACGAGCAACCACAGATCTTAACATTTTGTCTCAAGTACTTGAATGACAGCTCAAGTACACTATACATGTCTGTCTGGACTGAATCTACTGGTACAGTACTTTGTATGCATTCTTAGATAAAATTCCATCAGCTCAACTGAAGATCAGAAAAGAATAAATTTGCTCACCACTTGACAGTAACCATGCCCACCTTATTATTTGGATATCTTATTTCAAGCAAAATGTACTTATTTGATTGACATGTTTATAACCAATAGAAGGAGCTTATTTTCAACTACAATATCCCAATTATTATTTTAAAACTGGCACACAATATCCAGTACAAAGTGTATCAAACAGCTGAAGCGATATTTGCCAATTTCCTCCTTACTAGCACTTAATGTTGTGTTGTCTTTCACCAAGATACATATAAGTAAGATAGCCAGTTAAATTGTATTTAGATTTTACTTTTATATTTTAATTTTGTTTTAAAATTGATATTTGAAATGTTTAATCATTTTTTAATATAACCCAAACTTCACCCCATTTCAATAGGATTAATCTATTAAGCAAGAGCAAAAACATTTTGATAAAAGCTTGCATACCTTTACCAAAGATACTGTAATATACCATGAGGGCACTTGTTGGCGTGTTTTGAGAAAAAGTAATAAACCATAAAGGATAAGAAAGGAAAATAAAACATTAAAAACAAACAATAAGTGAAAAGGTAAAAACATGAAATTACAAATTTGATCAAAAGAAGATATTTTAAGATTATTCAAGGAAAAGGTAAAAGGTATGCACATATTTCTCTTTCATAATTTTAAACATTTTATTGCACTGTACATTGATGATAATAGCTACAGTTATTGATGATAAAAAAAATGAAAATATAAGCATTTATCCTAAAAAATCTTTTGATATTCACTTGGGAAGTTCTTAAGGTTATGCAAATGAAATTTGAAAACTATAAGATAAAAAAAGTATTTTTATACTAAATATGAAAATCACCTTGCACTTAAACTACTTGGAATCCGAGGGCAAACAACTACAATAAATAACTAATTTTCTGTAGAAATAGTAGAAAAAGTAAAAATTAAATATATTATTTTTTTGAAATGACATGCCTTTAAGAAAGTTCCTCTTAAGTTTCAAAAAATTTTATCAACTAGTTTTACTTCTGAAATGAAATTTGAGAGAGTCACATAACCTTTTTACAATGTAAGTAGATTGATGTGAAAGGGTTGAACCAACACCAAACCTTTGTTAAAAACAGATTCAGCAAAAATTTAAGATGTATCACAATCAACACTCACCTTTTTTTTTTAAAGTCAAATATTAGAGAAACCTAAGTCATTACACAAGTCACACCAATTACTTCGTGAACCAATGATTTAACATAAACCTCATAACTATTATACTAGAAACAAGAGATTAGTTTCAAGTACAGTAAGATCTACATGACAGTACCTAAGGATTTTACAAATCTAGATATATATATATATATATTAGTTTAATAACACTTGGAAGGTGAATATATTTCAAAAAATAAATAATAAACTCCAGAGAAACCCTATGAAATTTATACGGATACTGTCAGACAATTATAGTTATGTTCAGGAAAGGCTGAACAAAGCCCAAGATCAATCACATTAAGTTGTTCTTAATCACTCTTTACTACAACTTGTCTGACCAACTGTAACTAAGTTGCTAAGTAACTATGATATACTTTTAAATTCTTTAGTTCAGCAAGATATGAAAGACAATTAAAACAACAAATATGGTACTAGCTTTGGGAGATCTTTATGTTCCTCTTGTTCACACAGTTCCAAAAGATCAATAAGTTTCTGAGGAAATGCTGCAAAATCAACTAGCAGGCCTTGTTGGGACTTCAGGCTAGAGAATGAAAAACGTTATTAAAGATGAACTCTCTTTTTATTTTGTTTAGTTTATACCTATAAACTTAATATACTGTTAGTATTATATATCTTTGTTCAGTTCTTCTTTTTTTTTTTAATTTCAATGTTATCAAAAATTTTGTTTGAAAAGTGAAAATATAGTCATCTTTGTAAATAACAAACCTTATTCAGAGAGGGAATTCAACTTAATCTGTCCATGTCACCATATACCAACATTAAGGAAAAACAAAACAAGGACATGTATTTCATTTTTGTGGACTCCTAATTTTGCAAAATAAGATACAGGCAACTTCTACATTTAATTTTTTAAATTGTATCAACATAACTACATGTACATAATTGTGTTGTTGATAGTTTGCAGATAATGTTTTCAATTTTTTTAAAACATGCATCAACGTAACTACACGTTCAAGTTGTGTCATTGATACTTTACAGAATACATTCACACCCCTGCAAAGTTTCCACATTTTATTGCCATCTGAGCTTGCAATCTTGAAACTTTCAAATGAGACTTTATATTTAGAATCTACACAATCTACTCCAAATTGAGCAAGCTAAAAAATGCTGATATTATGTAAGTAAGTTCGATTTTCAAAGAAAATGAGAATATTCTCAACATGGAACTATTATAAGCACAAAATGGTTACGAGGTCGGTCCCAGGAACCAAGTCCGTGCTGAAAGAGTTAATGGACTTCACCGTACTCAAAGGAATAATCAGCGACTTTGAAATTTTCTTGTAACCTTCTCCTGATTTGTGATTCTCTACCACTTTATTCCTGACTTGTTTGGAAAACTCCTTGGTCTTCATGGTTGGTTTGTCTTATCACTATGTGAGTTGTGGCTTGAACAGATGCATTTACTCTGAAGCTAAGTTAAACCATTTTGATTACATACAGACACAGACCATTACACTAATTTTGTGACCTTTGAAACTAATCTTTTGCACCTGAACTGATTTAGGGTTTCCTCAGCAAAGGGCTTGAATACCTATAGCTTTTAAATTAGTAAGCATATGTCTGAGGCGGGAGTCAGTGTTCATACATCAACAATAACCCAGTCCCTACACAAAGCTAGCCTGTATAGGGGAGTGGCAAGAAAGAAGACAGTACTGAGTAAAAATCATCTAAAATCTTGTATGGAGTTCACAACAAAACATGTAAGTGATACTGCAGACATGTGGCAAAAGGTTCTGTGGTCAGACCAAAATTGAGCCTTTTGGTCTAAATTGAAAACGTTACATCTGGTGCTAGTCAAAACAGCACATCATCCAGTCAACACCATCCCAACTGTCAAGCATGGTGGCAGCATCATGTTATGGGGATGCCTCTGATCAGCAGGGACTGGGAAGCTTGTCAGGATTGAGGGGAAGATGGGTGTGTAAAGTACAAGCAAATCCTAGAGACAAACCTGTTGGAATCAGCCAAGAATCTAAAACTGGGTAGAAAATTAACATTTCAGCAGGACAGTGACCCAAAGCACAAGGCCAAAGCCATATTGGAGTGGTTTCAAACAAAGAAAGTGAATGTACCTGGAGTGGCCCAGTCAAAGTCCTGACTTGAATCCAATAAAAAATTTATGGTGAGACTTGAAGATTGCAATCCATCAATGATCCCCCACGAAATTGTCAGAATTGGTACAATTTTGCCAAGAAAAATGGGCAAACATTACACCATCCCATTGAGCAAAGCTGGTACAGACCTAACCAAAAAGACTCACAGCAGTAATTGCTGCCAAAAATGCTTCCACCAAGTACTGACTTATGGGGCTAAATACTTACACAATCAGCAAATTTCAATTTATATATCTTCTTTGCAGGTTTTGATGGCATTCAACCTCCTTCAGAAATAACAGCGTTAAGTTTGATCATTAAAGTTTTGAATAAAAACAACTTAATTAAAAAAATTGTTTACATTATTTGGATTTCATCAAAACGTGACATTATTGGTAGGGGATGAATACTTCTGAAAGGCACTGTAACTATATGTGCAAGCTGTCATTGATAGTTTGCAGAAAATGTTTTTATAAATTTTTTAACTTGTGTTAACATGACTTCATGTGCAAGTTGTGGCCTTGATAGTTTACACAAATTTTGTCATTAATTTTTTTAACTTGACTTGACATGCAAGTTGTGTCGTTTTCAGTTTGCAGAACATTTTCATTACGTTAATTGTATCAATATTAGTTTATGAGCAAGTTGTGTTGTTGACAGTTTATAGAACAATGTATGGGTATTCAGAACTATTTATAGTTGAAGTACAAACTCCTAATGTAACCCACTTTATAAACTAACATAAATCTATTTTAATTGAAATTTATAGCCATACATCTGTCAAAAGAAGGAACTATTCAACAGCCAATATTTGAGTTTCTTACAATATAGTGGGAATGTTTGAACATTGAAGAGTGAGTTTAGTCTCAAGCAAAAATTTTAGCTAGCAAACTGTTCAAATAATTTTTTAAAACTGACTATGAAACCATTTTCTATTAACTTTTATCTTAATATTTATGTTCTTCCTTTTTCACAAGAATTAAAAGCTCATATATTCTTTTAGAGTATATTGTACACCTAAAAGGAACAAAATACTGGTCCTGAAAACTAATAAAATTGGATTTCACTAAACTGATAGCATTTATAGAGTTCACAAATGAGAAAATTATACTTATTTACATTTAAACATAAATTATAGTTATTAGAAGATAGCTTTGAGCATTGCTTAAAAAACAAACATGTGATGTCAAGAATTTCAACTCTTCCTATTGTTTTCTACATTTATGAAATAAATGTGGCCAATCAGAGAAACTTACCTATGAAAATCTTCTTCAGTTAAAGTGAGCACATATAAGAAAAAAGGATCAAAGTCATCAGTAAGGCGAATGCTTAGTTCCTATACAAAGTGAAAAAATTAATGATTATCTTTCCAAGCATCTAAAAGTACACATATTTAGAAGAAAAAAAAATCCACGGAGACTGACCAGCAAATCAGTAATATAATATGAAAGTACAATGAATAAACAGATGTATAATCTATATAAATATACTAGTAATGTCTGTTGTATGGCCATGTAACTACTTTGCAGGGTGTGGATGGATCTTCACCAAAATTGGCATGGAGGTTCATAAGGTCCATGCATGGGTACATATAAATTTTCAGTTTTGCATTTTGTGGTTTTTATGGGTGTTTTTTACCACTACTTCGTCCCTTGTACATGGATCTTCACTAAATATGGTATGGGGGTTCATTAGGTACATGGGGGAGATACAAGCAAATTTGCAGTTTCACATTTTGTGTTTTGCAGTTTTTGGTTTTTAGATATATATATATATATATATATATATAAG